GGATCTTTGTAACCCAAGATGACAATCATATCAATGAAAAAGAAAACAGTTTTCCACGCGAACACCTACTCATCTATATCACTATCATTTGTAACTCTTTCCAATATAATTTATCATAGATTTATTGTTAAAAATAAATATTACAAATTACAAATAACTTTCTACTCCTTACTCCTGTCGTCAAATCATTAAGTCTATCTTCAATACTATCTATTTGGTCAATGCATGTATAGTGGACAGATCGAGCAATGTTCTATGGTCGTCGATAAAATATCCTGATGTGCTAAAGGCAGATTTTGAAGCTACGATAGAAATCTGCATTGTTAGTAAGTCAAGAGCCATAATGAAAAGTATTGGATATGAAACTCTTCCATATACTCTCCACCATTGTAAAAATATCAAAATCAACATTATTTTGAGGTTTGACTAGAGGTGCAGTTAAATATCATTCAATTTTAGAAATTTTCCTTGTTAATGATCTTGATCCATGGTTATTACCCATACGTGTTAGCCTATCTATCATTAATTGTCTATCAAAAAGCTTACCTTTGCCCCATCTAGAGCTTATAGTATCTATACGTTGAGGTGTGCTTACACCATATCTACCCGTATACTCATCAAATAATCTTTAAAAATAATATTTAATAGTGTTATGATGAGTAAGAGTGGTAATAGTCTGACTACTATTAGTTTCTATCACCATGTTCTAATAGAAATAATCCAATAAACATTGGAGGCTAATATCCTTCAAGCATGGATATATAAGAATCCCCAAACCAAAAATAATAGGAATATGACTAAACTACTTATTAAATTTGCTACCCATTTTAAAATTCATGTCTGAAAAAATTATCCATGCGATAAGTATTAAAAAAGTTTAACTATTGAAAACTTGTAAAGCAGCTTGAGTAGTAGCTGAATAATAACAACTGGATAATAACATAGTAGCTTCATAAAAAACTTGTAGCATCTCTTTTAGCCAACTTATAATTGCCCATTAATAGGTGTAGATCTAGAACTAGAAGTATATAGAGCAACAAAATCGTTTATAATTTTCTTATACTCTATTGTTACATTTAACATTGTATATGTAAAATTCCACCTGTGGTCAACATCATTTAGAATTAACTTAGATTTTATATATTTTTTCAACACAATTGTTTCCATCTTTGAAGTCGTTATTTAATAGAGTAAGCTATAACCCTAACTTTTCTATCATTAATTTAATTTTATTAAATGTACTTCGAACAATTAAATTCAAAATATGACACATGCATCTAATATGAAAAATACCACTCTAGCATTGCAATAACAAAAATGATATGAGCAAAGATGATCTGATGTAATCTGCAACTACATTTTATTACTTGTAATTTTTTATTTTATTTAGAAATTCTAATTTTAAAAGTTCTTCCATTATTATTAGCAATATTTTCACCAGTGTATGAATCTTCAAATAAAAAAAAAAGAAACAAAACTTTTAAATATTTACCAAATGTCATCAATCCAGCGTGTTGTGATACATAGATAACCAACTTTTGCTCTAGATGTCTAAACATTAGAAGTTAAAAAACAAATTATAGTTCAAGCTTTGGAAAATAAGAATTATTTTTATTTTTTCCTTGTGATAATATTTCAAAATATCACGTTGAGAATTTTGAGGAGAAATTTTTTAAAAAATAGTATAAAAAAGATTTAATCATATTCTCAAATTCATCATCATCTACTAATTTGAAAGTAAGGCTTTTAAAAATAATAAACCTGATGATGCATTTCTTGGCTTTAATTGCATCGTAGTTCCATGAACAGAGTCTACTAGAAGAAGATGAAGATGATTGAGAAAGTAGAGATTAGCGGATTGTGCCTTGAGACGTTGCCTTTGCTTGTTGTGTTTTTTCAAATAGCGTTTGAGGTGGTTAGTCTCACTCCTATGATGAACTTTAAAGATATGGTTGCATAATGCACATTTGGCCTTATGGGTAAGATGTTTGTCGTGTTGATCCTGGAGAGTTCTATCTTCTCAAACTATGCCCACACTTCAGAACTCAGCCTTTTAGGAGATCTATGTGTTGGATCATCAACACCAGATTCGGGATACACATTGGTAGTAGGAGTGGCTATATGACTCATTTCAAGAGTTAGATTTTGCCCTTCATAATCGGAGGAGGAAGCCATTGCAATTATAGAGTACAAGAAAGTATAAGAGAGAATAAAAGACTATAATACTATATTAGAGAGAATAGGAGAGTCGTAGGGAGAAGTAAAAGAGTTTTAGATGAGAAAAATAAATAAAACTCACTCTATTTACTGAGGCAACCTCATAGCCTAAAGATCAAAATACCTCAAAATTGGTTATTTTTCACCATTTTTAGGATATTTTCGTAATATGACAAAAAATTGCCGTAATAGGCTAGTTATTCTGCCTGAATCAGGTCAGGTTCGATCTAGAACGATGGCCCGAGCCGGGATGATCAGTCGCAATGACTAGAAAATAGCTGTGCTGGACCAGGCAGGGTCCAGCCACTCAGTCTAAGGTCTGGGCCCTTCAGTCCATGACTATTTTTCTAGTTGTTGGACCGGGTCAAATTTCGGGCTGGGCCGGGCTTCTAAGCCCGACTCGGCTCGATCTAACCACTATTAATCAGGGAGCTATTACTACCTCACTAGGTTGGTCTGAGTCCAAGCAGGACCGGATCTAGGTTCTTTAGCCTAGCACCGTGGAAGTTAGGCTGAGCTAGGCCGGGCTTCACCGAACCACCTTGGACCAGGGCCCGAAACTCTATCTCGCTGGGTTTTTTGGGCTTTTCCCGGCCGGACGCGGGACGTAGCCTATATATATGATATATATGTATA